ACTAAATACTTTTTTGCCCCACTGTAAGTCAGCCAGAGGGCAGGATCAGAGCCCAATGGGTCACTGTGCCTATTTCAGGATTGCTCACCTTAGCCTCCCCCAAGCTGATACCTTCCAGATGACCTGGGAGTATGACTGCCATCATCTCCTGCCTGCTTGGTCAGTTATGAGATCTGTAGTCCAGTGCATCTAGAGGATCCTAGATTAGGGGGAAAGGGCCTAGACTGGCTAGTGGTGGTTTTCCAGAGTGGCTGGCTGAAATTTTTCCAGAAAACTTTTCTTTATCTGCAAGGGGGCTGGATTGCACAAAAGGCCCCAGATTCATTCACAGACATATCCAAACTACCACATTCAATCTCGGAGATTCGCTACCAGCAACATTGAGACAGATTAACACTCTACATACCAGTTTCTCAAGTTTCTGGATTCTACATTAGCTTTATATGCCCCTTGTCAAAGCAGATGTTTTCTCAAGTTAGCCTACTGTACGTTATTACTGTGTTTTTCCTGGGAGTGTGGTTAAACAAGCAGCTACAAACAAAGTCTTCGCTGCATGATTTTAGGAGCCAATAGGAAACATCAGCACATCACTTGTTTCAAGACAGTTGGACTGACACATCAGTTTAAATGTTTAAACTATTACATTTAAATATATCCATTTAAATGTTAAACCATTTGGAAATGAGAGATCTGGGTGAACAAGACTCTCTCTTCCAAGGCAGACTATGTTCTGATCTGCTCAAACATAGATCTTGGGATATTGTCATATTTAACACCCGCCCATTTAAAATTAACTCATGGTGGCACACTGCAGAAGGCAGTGTATTTGAGATATATGTGCGTATGTGTGTAAAACATCAAAGGGCTGTTTGGGTTTTTTTCCCCCTTTCATCAACAGATAGATTCCTTGGAATTACATGTTTAATAGGGCACCGTGTATGGGAAATGTGTTGTGCATTTTGCCCTCCCTGGTCTAAATGCAAGACTGCTTGACTATTTAAGCCTAATTGGCAAAGGCAAAGCAAAACAAAGCAAAAACCCTCAATGCTTAGGGTTCCTTCCTTTTTTTTAAATTGGTACCAACATTGCTTGTGTTGAAACAACTCTCTGGGAGTTGGAGGCCCTGGACAAAATGAGCAAGTGGTCCATTGATGTATTAAAAAGCTTCAGATGATGCTCAGAAACACTGATCCTTTACTAAAGGCTCAAAGTATTTGACAAGGCAGTCTTTCCCAATCTGCTGCCTGCCAAATGTACTGGCTATAATTCCCGTTTTTCTCACCTTTGGCCTTTGGCTGGGAATTATGAGTTGTGATCTAGCACATCTGGAAGGCACCAAAGTTGTTATACAGTATTCTGTCTGTTAACTGTGTAATTTAAATTAAGAAAACTTGAGAAATTTTATTTTTGTGAATTCCAGTAAAAAAAAATAAATTACACGATCTGCTCTGCCAGATTTATTTTATTCTACTAACATGTTCCACAAAATGATGTAGGCCTTCATCACATAAGCAGCTAGGTTATGTTTCTATTTGATGATCCTATCCTCAACCAGTCAGCAATCACCAAATACAGTTTCCTTTATGCAATTTTAGTTTTAGTCATTCAATTTGTTTTTAGCATGGAATCAGGATTCTTACATCACTGCCACCTAAGGCTCATCCTTGTCTTTTTAAATTTTGCAATAGCTCAGGCAATCATTCAATGTACAATCAAATAACAAGTTATAATATCTGTGGGATGAGAGAATCTACAGATAAGGTTCCTGGAACATACCAGAACAAAACACCCCAGTTACATGATGCTAAATCGAGGACAGGTATAGAATTCAATAGAAGAAATTAAAAAACAAAGAAAGAGATTTTCTAATTCTGATGCTTCTAATCTAGAAACAAAAATAAATCCAAATCTAATAGGACAATATTCAATGATGATGATGATGATGATGATGAATGATATTTGATTAAATTTATATGCCGCCTGACTTCCACAGACTGTGGGCACTTTACCTATAGGAACAAGAAGCTGCTGTAGACTGAATTATTAATCCACCAGCCAACATTCACACATGTTATTCTCTACGATTTCAGGCAGGGTTCTTTCCTATGTTTACCTGGAGATGCCAGGAAACCTCTTAAGCATGGTGTCTATTCTGCCTCTAAAAGACGAGTACTACATGATCATCAGCCAATACTGAAGAGGAAGCTTCAGTAGAGACACAGAAAAAGTCTGTGGCTAGGCAAGATTTAAATGTACAGTTCATTTATGGAAGTCAATGAGTTACTGTAACATAGAGCGTGTAAGTTCATGTAGCAGCTGGTGAAAATGCATACTACTACAGATTCCCAACCTGACCATACACTCCCAGATTTCAGTCCTTTTGGAAAATAAGTCCACCACTACTGTGCAAACCAGGATGCACTTGTTATCAGCTATTATGCAGGTGGTTATACATCATTGGCCTCATTCCTCTCTCTGTTTCTTTTTCCCCTTAATCAAGATATGACTTCCTCCGCAAAATACTAGCCAATCTTCTTACTTGGTCAAAGGGTGTGAGCCATCAGGCAAGGCAAAGATTAGACAGGCATGGGTATTGCCACATTCTAATAGTTAAGAACTGAAATCCCAGAATTTGCAAAGCCTCCACCCTATATTATATATAATCTATTAATTACATTTTCTTGCAAAGATCTAGGAACAATTCCTTAGTCCCATTCTCTAGGACTCTGGGAGTTTTCTATAACTGAACTTGAATTTACGCATGTTCCCCTCATACCCTCTCCTCTCCATCGCTCTCCCTTCCCTCTCATCTCCATTGTGTTGATTTTTGGACTGAAACCTCATTGGGAGATGGAACTGCTCCATCATCATCATCATCATCATCATCTATATGACACCTGACTCCAAGCAAATAATTTTGTACCTCCGCTCTTCTTCCAAATTGCATCAGACAGCATAACCAAACAACACTGAGAACTGACACAGGGAAAGCCTGATGGCCCAAACTTTGCACCTGGGCAATTATTTGAAATTGCCTTCTCTAGCTCCTGTCCATGAGTGGCAGGGAACAGAATTCTGATAGAGAGCAAAACCATGCCCTGGCTGAACATCAAAATCAGTTCAAAGACATTAAAAAATCAAGATATTTAAACCACTGAGTTTTTGTGCTGGTTTTACAGTGTTCATTTGGTCTTGTTTGCTTATTCATTATGACTCATCGGTTAAATCAACTGAATTCCTATCTAATAACCAGTTGCAAGACTGGAGTCTCCACAACCACTGAAGTGGTCATACTGATAATTAATATATGAAGATTATTAGAATCCAGATGTCTTCAGATACCTGTCTCCGTATTAAAGGATATGGTTTTAATGTACCAGAGTAGAAAGGCAGCATATAAATCTAATTAATTAAAGCCTGACCTATCCTAACCCTGATTACATCTGCCCATCCCGTTAGGTCTGGCAGGAGATGCATGCTTCGGATCCCGTCTGTTAGGGAATGCCATGTGGAGGGGCCCAGGGAGGAGACTTTTCTGTCATGATGCCTGGAGATCATCATCCCCCTGGAGATCAGACTGGCCTGGCTTTTCGTAAGCCCTTAAAGGCTTGGTTTTGCCTTTGGGCTTGGGGATCCGCAAGTGTGGCAGAGACCGTAACAGCGGTTATGCTGACTGTTGCTGGTGGTTCTTGTTATACCTCGGCTACTGTGTTATTATAAGTTTTATATTGTTTTTATACTGTTTTTATATATGATTCTTGTATTGTTTTGTGTTTTTATATAGCTTCAGTTGTTCTGAACTGCCTGGAATCATGTATTTGAGATATATATGGCTATATAAATTTAAATAATAAAGAAACAAACGAACAGGCGAATTAGCCTTCTGCCTTCAGATATGGTGGAGGATCTTATTAGTGCTTCCCAACTGTACAACTTCAGCTCAGTAAAAAATCTGTGCTGCACCAGAGTATCCCGGAGAACTGGGAAGGCCTGACCTATTTATTTCACCAAAGAACCCACCTCTCTAAAGCATCTGACTGAAGGTTACTAGAAGACAAGAAGAGAACGAGCTTTCCTCTTAACAAATCATTGTAAATGCAGAGGATCTTGATTATGTAATGGAGTACAGCCAACTTTAAGATGGCCTTCTTGGAGTAAACTAAGAAGTCCACATTTCCAAGTGTTTCATCAGTACTCAAGTTAAATGCTCCAGGAGCAAACGGGATATAAATTGATGCCTTTCCTTATTTCCCCACAGCATACAGTATTTGGAGGTGCCGTGCTTTTATACAAGAAGCTTCTGCTTTTCATCTAGGCTAAAATCTATTTGTAAACTTCACCTTTGCTCAATTCACTAGGTCCTTAAAAAAATAAAAATAAAACCATCTTGCTGCTGCATCTTCGGCAGGAAGTTCCACAACCCAATTACACAATCTGTACAGAATACTTTCTTTTCCACCAATGAGATAACTTGTTCTATATACTTCTAGAACCAGGAAAGAACCTAATATTTTCTAAGAAATTACTACTGAATTTCTTCACACTCGTGGTTTGAGCAATAAGTGGACTATGTTCAATCTCATCAGTTTTTCAACACGGCTACTTGTGGTAGGAGTGGGACTGAGAGTTAATTTATTGGTATATATGGTTTTTTTTTTAATGCCAGTAATTGGACTCTTCCTCTTTCTCCTCACAGGCATATGTATACACAACACAGGTAGGAACGAAAAATCCTCCATTCCAACAGAAATAAATTTATGTATCATGGCTCCTATAAATGAGCACTGAACAGCCCAGAGGGCTGTACACATATGAACTGTTGATATTTTGAGCACTCAAGCCTTATTCGCAGTTAGTGACAATACATTTCCTGGACAGAATTCTTTGTTGACAAGCTTGACAGAAAGAAGGAAAACTTCCACAGCTCAGAAAAATATAAGGACCTTTCTTTCTCATTGACTGAGTAACAAGCAATGCATAGAATAAAGGCAAATGGATACCTTGTATCTGGAGGCTGTTGGGCTTGAAATCCATTCCAAACCACACTTAAAGGAGGGACTGTCAGGATCTAGAAACCCCACTAGGGTGTTTCAGATGCAGCTCAAGTCTGATAGGTTCCCTGTATGTTGTGAGGTCTCTTTGCTCTGAAGAAATACGAGGGAAAAACAACAGAGTTTTGAAATGCATTTCTATCTCCTAATCTTTACATCATATAAAATTCACTTATATGAAAAGCAGACTGTTGCTGTCTGCTCCACCCCCACCAACAGTTTCCCAGGGTCTTCCCTAGCCATTCCATCCAAGGTCATTTCCCTAATAATGGTAGGGGTTTAAAGGCAGTATCTTCTGAAGGAATCTGAAGGAACAGGTGCCAGTGGAACTGGCCCTACAATAAGTGAGGGAGTTGCTTCAAGCAGCAGATGCCAAGAGGTGGCAACAAGGGCTTGAATGATGGAATGGTGTGCCTTATGACCCACTCTGGACATCTGCGGCCTTCAGGTAGAGCAGAGAATGCTGCTGTGTCGCAAGCGCTGAAGAACTTGTTAGCAATCCTACTCCTTGGCATGCAACCCTGTCTTTTGATGTAGGCGGCAAAATGGCTTGGCTTAGCCCTGACTACTACAAAGCAATGATCCATCCATATGTTCAGCATAATTTTCAATATATAGCACATACACACACAGGTGTTTTTTTTTTAATTCTGCTAAAAGCGAAAATCAATAAATTGAAACGGTTTGATTAGAGTTCCAGTTGAAAAAGCACAAGGACTCAGCAGTGACCTCAAGTAGTCCAAGACAAACAACATTAAGTGAGAAAAGGAAGATACATCCAAGATTTAATCTACAATTTCAACCAGCCCAGACAACAGCAATTAACTAAAGAAGCCCTACCCATATGGTGCCCTCTGAACTCCAGTGGCCACATTCAGTAAGATCTTAAGGCTTCAGCACCTATTAGATGCTTGAGTATCTCTTCTAAATTTCATTGATTTTCACCCACTATATTCTCATTCTTTCGTATGTTAATATTCACTTGGGCCTCGGTTCAAAATCCCTGGTTGGGGCTCAAGTTCTGAAAGATAGTTTCTATATCTGTGGGAAATTACACCATTTTTCAGAACAAAAATGTGTACTGCACTAGACTTGAGAGATGTACTCAGGGCTTAAAAGTTGTGAAAGTTCAAGTGGTGTTAAAGAGAATTAGAAAAAGGACAAAGGACAAAGTCCCCATCATGGCAGGAAGCAATGAAAGTTAAGTGGAACCTACACTTTTTGCAGCAGTATACCTTTGCTCAAGATGTGGTTCAGAATGTGCTGCTGGCTCAGGTTGCTGGATTTTGGGGTACTTGTAAAAAAAACAAATGAGTTTTCATAAGTTTGAAATCCATGACAACTGTCCTGAGCTATATGTAAGCCGGGAACAAGAGACAGAGAATCAAACCTAATGCTTTTCTTAAGTTTGGGTACACTCCAACTATGGTACAATTACATTTTTTATAAAGAATTGTATTGAAGTAGGATGAAATAGGTAAAAGAGCAAGATGAAGAAGCCTAATTTTGCTACCAGCAGCCTCCTTTGTGTGAATTTAAGCAAATATTGATGTGTTTCCATGGCAATTCCTGTTTTGAATATCCTCTACAGTCATTTTTTTAAATAAAAAGGGTCTTTCCTGTTTGTGCTTCAGCTTTAAACTTGTAAATATTTTCTGCCTTAGTGCACGTATCCTTCAGGAAAAAAAAAGTAAAGACAGAAAAGGAAGATTGGCTTCTTATCTCCCTTCTATCAGTACAGAACTTAAGAGATGACTACTTGGGACAAGACAGGATGGTGAAATTCAAAAAAGAAAACCCCAAAGTGCTATTTTTTTCAGCTCATCCCATGGGAAAATTCCAATAATCCCAACTGGTGCATTGATAATTAAAGACTAGTAGCTTTATTTCAGTCCCCCAAGATAGCTAATTGAAATTAGCCCTCCAGCACAAGTAAGCCAAATTACTTCTTTATTTTGCGTTACAACTCCCACATCTTCCCTCTAGACTTCAACTGGTTTCAAACCAGCGTGAGAGCAGATCCACAAGTTGCTTGTTCCTCCTGGCAAAATCTAGAAGGCACTAGGTTGGAGGAGACGGGTCTCTGCAGCATTTCAGATGCAAGTATTTCTCAGTTCTGATGGGGATGCCATTAATTCATCCTGGAATCTTTGGCATTCACCCATTTTACCAGGCAATCTCTTACTCCTCTTTATATTCCATATGAATGGAAAAATAGCCAAATCCCAATCAGTTTAAGGCAGAAAATGTAGGAATTATATTCACATTATATCGTCTTGTGAATCACTTATAAAGCTAGTTTGCTGCACCTCAGCACCACCCCTACCCTTGGGAAACATAAAGCATTCCCCTGCCAACTTTCAACTGCCCTAGGATTTCACCAGCAGTAAGGCAGTGGTTAAAAAAGTCCGAATTTCCTGGCTGCAATGCACTGGCGCCAGGCTCCAAACATCAGCCTAATATGTAACTTTGGGGAAGTCAAGTTTCCTTTGGGATTTTAACATTCTCTGGAAATGTCATATCATCAAGCAAGACTGTTTGTCCAGGAGACGCTTTATAGGCATTTGATAGCTGAAAATCAAACAAGGGAATCAAAGGGCCTACCTTTCAAGGAATATGCACACACAGATCATACCTCTAAAATTCAGACTAATTTAATTTAAATTGAATTGAATTAAATGAATTTTACCATTGAAAATATTATCCCATATTCTTTTGCTAACTATTTAGCTCAAATCATAATCCTATCAGGTCAAGCCAAACCAGAGCAATGGTACAGCTAACTGGCACTGGTCACTGTTTGTGCCAGATTCATAATTGTAACAAGCATCATCCAAGTTATTCTGAAGCTCTTCACTATGCCATTTCTTTTTCTTTCTTCCTTTCTTTTTCCCTAATGTAATTTCCCAGGAACTACTTGTAAGTAGAATTTGCAACATGAATCAGCTTCCACTCCCACCCAGCTGCAGCAGTGAGATTCTGCCCTGTATGACTGACCAAGCCTGAACGCTTCAGATTTCTCATACTGAGATAGCAGGGATAGTTTATTTGAACCATGTGTCCCTCTTCTCACCTGTGTCTGATCTATAGAGCAGCTCCTCATCAAATCACCTTTCTTAGTCCACTCAAGAAAATTGGGGTGGGGGTGGGGAGAGAGAGAGAGAAACAGAGATAATGTCAAAGCTCTAAGAGCAAGTTTACTCTAGACTGCCTATGTCTTTCCTGCAGACAATGGTAAGGAAGAAACTTGGTGAAAGAGTAGGATTTACTGTACCCCCTGTGCTGTTCTAGGAGGGGCATGCCTCACCCGGCAGAGACAAACAGACCAGCTCAAAGCAGATTCAGAGAACTAATGCCGGGGGGGGGGGAGCAATGCAGTTAGTTGAACTGAGACTGAGCTGTTGTTCAGTTATTTGTTAGGTTGGCATGAAATCACCTTGGTAATATTCAGAAGGGAGATCAGCAAGACGGTTTTTAAGTCACACAATCATGAGCCTAAACAAGGCGTCAGACAAGGACAACGCCAGCCTCTGGTCTATAGAATTTTCTTTGCTGCTGCAAATAGCTTTTTCAGGAAGGGTCAATTACAGTTTCTGACATTGTTTTATTATTCATCTGATTATGATCTAATTCACAATTATGAAGGTTAAAAATATTTACAACTATTTAAAAACAACATGATAAAATTCTCAGAATGCAACTACTTGGTAAAAAATTTACTATCATCAAAAGATCTAGGTATTATGGCTTCTACTGTCTGGGCTTATCTCAGCTATAATCAGCTACTATAGCTATATAGAGTGAATTTAAATCTGGAGAGGGGAAACCAGGGGCTTGAGCTAGACAACAGGAAAAGCTTTTATCCTGCAGATTGTGGGAGAAGAACTGGAAACCTCTGGGGCTATGTCAGACTGTCTTGCATGCTGAGACACCAAACAGATACTTCAAAATTTATTCCCAGGCGGTCAAATATTTGCAGGGCTTCCTGAGCAGGTTCTAGAAGCAATCATGTCCAGCCTGAGCCCAGAATGGTCTTCCCATTAGTTCAGGAGTGTTTTGGTTGGCTCTCTGAGATTCAGTCCTGGCTTGACACCTGAACTTGACATTTTACCTCCAGCACTGTCATTCAGCAGTTTCTGGCTCCTTTCCCAGGGCCACTTTGACAGCTATCTACACCTCAGATCCACAGATCCAGAGGCAACAGGTTGGACTAGATAGTTCCTCATTTGTGGTGCAAAGACAACCTCTTAGACCAAGCGGTTTGTGTTTGTAGACCCAAAGGCCACAGACTCTAATTTTAAATGCACCAGGTACAGAAAAATCCAGGGAATGACAGAGAGTTGTGTTTTTGATTAATTGCCTTTGTCTTCAGCATCTGAGAAGCAGAAACACTTTATCCCTGAACATCAAAGACCTTATTCTTAGCTATTGTGGCAAAATAATGATTACTCCTAATATCCATAGGAGTAATATTTCCACCTTTCCATGAAGCCATTTATATTGCAATATCTCACTGAATGTTTTTCCACAAGTTAACCTGTAGAATGTGAATGAAGATACTGGCTGCAAGTTGACATCCTCAGCCTTCCTGATGAATGCCTCAGCATTATGTTAAAGAACATTTTTAGCCTACCATGCTAATCAAAATGTTTATAATGGCATTTTTCCCTGATGTGGGAAACCACAGCCAACAACATCCGCAACATCTAAGTCTTTGTACATAAAACCATGTGTGAAATCTATTTACTACAACAAAAGTCTAAAAAATGCTTAGCAGATCAGAACCAGAAAATTATTAAGCATCCATCTAAAAAACTTGTGAAGAACTTTGCACTTTAAAGGCGTAAACACTGGCAAGCTAGTTGGGTTTTGTTTCAATATTGAACGATGGAAACGCCTTCTAGATAAAGATGATAAAAATCGAATATCCTGGGAACTAATGATTCCACAATAGAAACAGAATCACACACTCTTGAAAATAAACACAAACATGGACCTCTCAGTATATGCTCATATATGTACATTCATTTGCTCAGTTGTGTATGGTAAAAAAGAATCACCCCAAGGGAATCACCCACAAAAGCAGTAAATCA